TCGCGCGTGTGGCTGTTTTCTATGCATTATTACAACATTCACGCTATCGCCATGATACATTTCAGGTTTATTTAGTACACTCCAGTGAAAATTTCAGCAAAAATAAAATGAAATACCTGTGAGGTGGCGCCCCGTCGGTAGATGATCGTTTGGAGCCAGTGTTCAGCAGCCGCTGTTTTAGCACCAGGTTCTGCGTATTTGGCATTCTGCTTAGGGGATTAGAGTCTTTGTGTGATACAACAATTGAGCTGCACTAAGGGGTGCCGTAGGACCCTGGAGGTAGTAAAGCTTTTAGCTCTCTGGTTTACACTATTTTAGTACCTAGGGCGGCTGATTGAGCGTTCTGTTTAGTGGAAGGTCATGGGTGGTATTGTAATCACGTGCAAACTGTACTAGGAGCAGGTGGGTGAATATGTGAGGTGGGTGAATGTGTGGGATAGGTGAATATATGGGGGTGGGTGACCGTGTGAGGTGGGTGAATATGTGGGGTGAGTAAATATGTGGGGTGAGTGAATATGTGGGGTGGGTGAATATGTGGGGTGGGTAAATGTGTGGGGTGGGTGAATATGTGGGTGGGTGAATGTGTGGGGTGGGTGAATATGTGGGGTGGGTAAATATGTGGGGTGGGTGAATATGTGGGGGTGGGTAAATATGTGGGGTTGGTGAATATAGGTGGGGGTGGTTGAATATGTGGGGTGGGTGAATATGTGGGGTGGGTAAATATGTGGGGTGGGTGAATATGTGGGGTGGGTAAATATGTGGGGTGGGTGAATATGTGGGGGTGGGTGAATATGTGGGGAGGATGAATAAAGGTGGGGGTGGTTGGATATGTGGGGTGGGTGAATATGTGAGGTGGGTAAATATGTGGGGTGGGTGAGTATGTGGGGTGGGTGAATATGTGGGGTGGGTAAATATGTGGGGTGGGTAAATATGTGGGGTGGGTGAATATGTGGGGTGGGTAAATATGTGGGGTGGGGAAATATGTGGGGTGGGTGAATATGTGGGGTGGGTAAATATGTGGGGTGGGTAAATATGTGGGGTGGGTGAATATGTGGGGGTGGGTGAATATGTGGGGTGGGTGAATATGTGGGGTGGGTAAATATGTGGGGTGAAAATATGTGGGGTGGGTAAATATGTGGAGGTGGGTGAATATGTGGGGTGGGTGAATATGTGGGGTGGGTAAATATGTGGGGTGGGTGAATATGTGGGGTGGGTAAATATGTGGGGTGGGTAAATATGTGGGGTGGGTAAATATGTGGGGTGGGTAAATATGTGGGGTGGGTAAATATGTGGGGTGGGTGAATATGTGGGGTGGGTGAATATGTGGGGTGGGTGAATATGCGGGGTGGGTGAATATGTGGGGGTGGGTGAATATGTGGGGTGGGTGAATATGTGGGGTTGGTAAATATGTGGGGTGGGTAAATATGTGGGGTGGGTGAATATGTGGGGTGGGTGAATATGTGGGGTGGGTGAATATGTGGGGTGGGTGAATATGTGTGGGTGGGTAAATATGTGGGGTGGATGAATATAGGTGGGGGTGGTTGGATATGTGGGGTGGGTGAATATGTGGGGTGGGTAAATATGTGGGGTGGGTGAATATGTGGGGGTGGGTGAATATGTGAGGTGGGTGAATATGTGGGGTGGGTGAATATGTGGGGTGGGTGAATATGTGGGGTGGGTGAATATGTGGGGTGGGTGAATATATGTGGGGTGGGGTGAATATGTGGGGTGGGTAAATATGTGGGGTGGGTGAATATTTGGGATGGGTAAATATGTGGGGGTGGGTGACTGTGTGGGGTGGGTAAATATGTGGGGTGGGTGAATATGTGGGGGTGGGTGAATATGTGGGGGTGGGTAAATGTGTGGGGTGGGTGACTGTGTGGGGTGGGTGAATATATGGGGTGGGTGAATATATGGGGTGGGTGACTGTGTGGGGTGGGTGAATATGTGGGGTGGGTGAATATGTGGGGTGGGTGAATATGTGGGGTGGGTGAATATGTGGGGGTGGGTGAATATGTGGGGTCGGGTGAATATGTGGGGTGGGTAAACTTGTGGGGTGGGTAAATATGTGGGGGTGGGTGAATATGTGGGGGTGGGTAAATATGTGGGGGTGGGTGAATATGTGGGGTGGGTGAATATGTGGGGTGGGTGAATATGTGGGGTGGGTAAATATGTGGGGGTGGGTGAATATGTGGGGTTGATAAATATGTGGGGTGGGTGAATATGTGGGGGTGGGTGAATATGTGGGGGTGGGTGAATATGTGGGGTGGATGAATATAGGTGGGGGTGGTTGGATATGTGGGGTGGGTGAATATGTGGGGTGGGTAAATATGTGGGGTTGGTGAATATGTGGGGGTGGGTGAATATGTGCGGTGGGTGAATATGTGGGGTGGGTGAATATGTGGGGTGGGTGAATATGTGGGGTGGGTGAATATGTGGGGTGGGTGAATATGTGGGGTGGGTGAATATGTGGGGTGGGTGAATATGTGCGGTGGGTGAATATGTGGGGTGGGTAAATGGGAACAGGGCATTTCCCCCCTGTCAATTACCCCCCGGATATTTCCCTCCCCGACATTACCCCCCAGAGTAATTACCCCCCCTGTCAATTACCCCCCTGTCAATTACCCCCCGCCCAGTAGGACATTACCCCCCCCCCTCCGGGACAGGGTTAGAGTTAGGGTTAGGGCTGGGTTTAGGGTTAGGTTTAGGGCTAGGGCTAGGGCTAGGGTTAGGGTTAGGGTTAGGGTTAGGGTTAGGGTTAGGGTTAGGGCTAGGGCTAGGGCTAGGGTTAGGGTTAGGGTTAGGATTAGGGTTAGGGTTAGGGTTAGGGTTAGGGTTAGGGTTAGGGTTAGGGTTAGGGTTAGGGTTAGGGTTAGGGTTAGGGTTAGGTTTTAGGGCTAGGGTTAGGGTTAGGGTTAGGATTAGTATTAGGATTAGGGCTAGGGTTAGGGTTAGGGTTAGGGTTAGGGTTAGGGTTAGGGTTAGGTTTTAGGGCTAGTGTTAGGGTTAGGATTAGTATTAGGATTAGGGCTAGGGTTAGGGTTAGGTTTTAGGGCTAGGGTTAGGGTTAGGATTAGGATTAGGATTAGGATTTGGGTTAGGGCTAGGGCTAGGGTTAGGGTTAGGGTTAGGGTTAGGACTAGGGTTAAGATTAGGGTTAGGGTTAGGGCTAGGGTTAAAGTTAGAGCTAGTGTTAGGGTTAGGGTTGTGTCTAGCTTTGATTTTGGCTTTGTGTGAAGTTTTAGGCTAAGGTGGATGCTTAGGTTTTGGTCTTTTTCTTAAGGTTTGGATTAAAGTAGTATATAGGTTAAAATTCTAGTTAGAGTTAGGATTTTAACTTGATAGGGGGGGGGTAATTCCCCGGGGGGTAATTGACAGGGGGTAATTGACAGGGGGGTAATTGCTCCGGGGGGGGGGGGGAAATATCCGGGGGGTAATGTCCTGTAGCCGGGTGAATATATGTGGGGTCGGGTGAATATGTGGGGGTGGGTGAATATGTGGGGTGGGTGAATATGTGGGGTGGATGAATATGTGGGGGTGGGTGAATATGTGGGGTGGGTGAATATGTGGGGTGGATGAATATGTGGGGGTGGGAGAATATGTGGGGTGGGTGAATATGTGGGGTGGGTCAATATGTGGGGGTGGGTGAATATGTGGGGTGGGTGAATATGTGGGGTGGATGAATATGTGGGGGTGGGTGAATATGTGGGGTGGGTGAATATGTGGGGTGGGTCAATATGTGGGGGTGGGTGAATATGTGGGGTGGGTGAATATGTGGGGTGGGTCAATATGTAGGGGTGGGTGAATATGTGGGGTGGGTGAATATGTGGGGTGGGTAAATATGTGGGGTGGGTGAATATGTGGGGTGGGTGAATATGTGGGGTGGATGAATATGTGGGGGTGGGTGAATATGTGGGGTGGGTAAATATGTGGGGTGGGTGAATATGTGGGGTGGGTAAATATGTGGGGTGGGTGAATATGTGGGGTGGGTGAATATGTGGGGTGGATGAATATGTGGGGGTGGGTGAATATGTGGGGTGGGTGAATATGTGGGGTGGGTCAATATGTGGGGGTGGGTGAATATGTGGGGTGGGTGAATATGTGGAGTTGGTAAACTTGTGGGGTGGGTGAATATGTGGGGGTGGGTGACTGTGTGGGGTGGGTGAATATGTGGGGTGGGTGAATATGTGGGGTGGGTGAATATGTGGGGTGGGTAAATATGTGGGGTGGGTGAATATGTGGGGTGGGTGAATATGTGGGGTGGGTGAATATGTGGGATAGGTGAATATGTGGGGGTGGGTGAATATGTGAGGTGGGTAAATATGTGGGGTGGGTGAATATGTGGGGTGGGTGAATATGTGGGGTGGGTGAATATGTGGGGTAGGTGAATATGTGGGGGTGGGTGAATATGTGAGGTGGGTAAATATGTGGGGTGGGTGAATATGTGGGGTGGGTGAATATGTGGGGTGGGTAAATATGTGGGGTGGGTGAATATGTGGGGTGGGTGAATATGTGGGGTGGGTGAATATGTGGGGTGGGTAAATATGTGGGGTGGATGCATATATGGGGTGGGTGAATATGTGGGTTGGGGTGGGGTGGGTGAACATATCGGGAGGATGAGTTTGTGGGGTTGGTTGAACAAATGGGGTATGTTAACAGGTGAGGGTGACTGGGGTAGGTTAACATTTAAACAGCTGGGATGGGTCCACATGAGTTGTGGACGGAATACAGTAATAAGGGCAGTGATCTTTGCTTCATGATCCAGCTGTAATCGGTTGTAACATTTGACATCGTCGTGTTTCAGTCTTCAGCTTAATACCCCACCACTCAATCAACCAAAGAAACAACTCTTGTACCGTGTGTGTATGTGTAGCCACCGAGCCATGAACGATCTCTAAAACGCCCCCAACCATGTCAACATACTATATATCTATTGTTCAGCGTTTTAATTCAAATTGCTTGCTTATAGAATAGAGACCAGCCTTTAGATACTTGTTCGCTAACTTGTCAGACTATAAAGTTGTGGTGAACGAGGCTACATAGCTACACGCTACAATTTTAGCATTGCTGCTAGTGTTAGTGTCTTCATAACATTTATCTGTGGCTTGTTCTCTCGTGTTTTGGTTCTAGCATGGATGCTCGTTTATTCTTGTTGATACTGCAATGTTTGATTGCTCGGATATTTTCAGGTAAAAACTTGTTCTTACACGTGGCATAGATTATGTTATATATTTGTATAGATAATGGACTATAAACTATGTGTTTAGTAGCTAGAGGTAGTCTTTTTAAACAAGATTATGTAAGCATCAAGAAATCGTGCTCAACACAATGCCTAGTTGTTTTATTTTTCCCTGGCTAAGTACTCATTAGGGCTGGGTAGATTCATAAACATATTTTGGACTCGAGATCGTGATCACGAAACTTAGCTAGAAATCGAATGCTCTACCTCTGTGTAACCGTACCATCAACATCAACTCTAGACTAAGTTATAGCTCTTATTGTAATTATAACCTTAGCCTTATATCAGAGGCGTAGCGATTGGGGGGGGGGGGCATATGTCCCCGGGCGCCGACCTTAGGGGGCGCCAAAATGGTTTGGAAAAAGTAATCGAAAGTTTGAGGGGGTGGGGGTGGAAATCAAAAGTATGAGGGGGGGGGGGTTGCAAATCGGAAGTTTGAAGGGGGGGGGTGGTGCAAATCAAAAGTTTGAGGGGGTGCACATCGAAAGTTTGTCCCCGGGCGCCGGGAAGGGTCGCTACACCTCTGCCTTATATCTGCTATTAAACTATTGCGATAATCACAAGACCCCCATTTACTGGAAGAGGGCAATGCTCGAGAAAGATTGTCAAAGGTATCTTTTTAAAATAATAAGTGCAGAATAAAAAAAAATTGGGGACGACTCGGTCGGGTTGGTAAAGTTCATGGTTGCTAAATCGAAGAGTTCCGAGTTCGAACCCCGGAGCAAATGAGGCTCAGTAGCTAAGGACAGAACATGTCTAGTATAGAAAACTCCAAAATCAAACAACTGCTGTATTGTAGTTTGTTCGTGGATGGGCAACGGCTGTGGAAACTAATTCAATGTCAACGGCCCATACCAAGTTGATACATTATACTTAATTGTGCCTTAGTAAGAACGAATAAGAAAACTAACAACAATGTAGTATTTATTAATTTAATTGGTATTCGCTACAGTATTTAAAAATTACGTAAGAAAACAACAATTGACATATAATAGACAGGTGTCGATATCGCCGTTATTGTTCTACAGACGTAATAAGCAGGCTGTATGCCTTATAAAAAAAAACCGGTAAAATATTGTGGGTCACGCAGACGAATTAAATTTTGATAGTAGAATTTATGTATTTGGTTATTTGCAAAGCAGCTTGCAGTAATTTACTAAATACATCCATCAATATACTTAATAAATCTAATTTACACATACTAGATTAATGATAATTAATTTAGAAAAAACTAGTAATGTTTTCTATCAATAATATATATAATACACAGAAAATACATCAGCAGGCCTACACACAGTACCATATCAATAAATACACAAATACATCCAATGCATTTAATTGTACTTCCATACAAACACACAGCTAAACATGTTATACTTAATAACACTTCAATTAAAACTAACAATCATCTTTTAAGTTACAGCTTGCTGCAAAAATGAACACTTTTGCCAGACTTTATTGATCAACAATTTAGAAGACACATCTTCTACATTATGCAAGTAAGTATCATAACAATTATTTGTGATTAACTAGCTATTAGTAGCTAAATTCTGATTTCATTCGCCATGATAGCCCGGGCTCTTTTTTCTAACACTTAACACTTTTTTCAGAGGTATGAATTTTTAATATTTATATCATAACTAACTCATTGTTTAATACTTTCCTTAATTTTATGCACTTGTGTATTTGAACAATTATTTATTGCATACTTTTCAAGAATAAAAACTTCTTTTTCAACAATAAATAATTATTTTCTATTAAATTAGAAACTAAAGCATTAATAAAACCATCCGGAAAATATAAAAAGAAATTCATTTATTTAATACGTTTTTTTGTTTAATGTTACTTAATTACAATGTTATTATATTTATTTTGTTTTTGGAAAATGCCAGTTTTATTTTTTAAAAACAATAGTTATACTTCTTGTTTAGAAATGTCAACGAGTTTTTACGTTGTAAGATGGGCGTGGGGCTTGCCACTGACGGCGAGGTTAAAGAGATGATAGAGAGGTTAATGGCAGACGTTACGTTTGGAGGCCTTGGATGCGGTGAGTGTGGTAGATGGTGTATTACATACGTGAGATGAGGTTGGAACATGGTGTATTACATTAGAGTGATGATGCTGGTAGATGTGGTAGATGTGGTAGATGTGGTAGATGTGGTAGATGTGGTAGATGTGGTAGATGGTGTATGACATAAGTGAGATGATGTTGGTGGATGTATGTGACAGATAGTGTATTACATAAGTGAGAAGAGGGTTGGCAGATGTGGTAGATGGTGTATTACATAAGTGAGGTGAGGTTGCAAGATAGTGTATTACATTACAATGATGATGCTGGTAGTTGTGGTAGATGTGGTAGATGGTGTATTACATTAGAGTGATGAGGTTGGCAGATGTGGTAGATGGTGTATTACATTAGAGTGATGAGGTTGGCAGATGTTGTAAATGGTGAATTACTTCAGAGTGATAAGGTTGGTAGATGTGGTAGATGGTGTATTACATAAGTGAGATGAAGTTGGAAGATAGTGTATTGCATTAGAGTGATGATGCTGTTAGATGTGGTAGATGGTGTATTACATTAGAGTGATGAAGTTGGTAGATGTGGTAGATGGTGTATTACATAAGTGAGATCATGTTGGTAGATGTATGTGGTAGATGGTGTATTACATAAGTGAGATGAGGTTAGCAGATGAGCAGGAAGCTAGTTATGGTGTGCTGTGTGGCTGTAGATAGCTTAAAGGATTCAAAATAGCAGCATCTGCTATACTCTCAGTTCTGAATAGGATCATGGGTGTTCTAGTATACTACCTAACTAACCTTTAGCTCATATATATATATATATATATATATATATATATATATATATATATATATATATATATATATATATATATATATATATATACACGTATAGTTACGTCATTTATTAGATAACCTATAATCTATAATTACTTGTCGTCATAAGGACTTTATTCTTTCCAGACATCGACACTGAGCTGTTATCAACTTTAAGTAAGTTCCTACACGTTCAACTCTCCGTCCTATTTAGTTTCCACTAACAGGTTTTTCAACTTGAATGCTAGGGCTGGTGCGACTAGGTTGGGAACCTACTAACCTAGTTAACAGTCAGGTGGTTTTATAGCATGGGAGTTTATTTTTAACTAGAATGTGGTTCATTAGTTTTAAATATATCTCCACTGTTGCTCGTTATGTTTCTTGTTATTTGTATTCTGTTCTCTTGTATTTAGTCACCACTCTGTCTTTAATTCTTCCATTTAGACCGTGTACTATATTTAAGCCCTTATCCATTAGCCCATATTATTCCTTTTTTTTCCTTTTGTATTTCATCTACTCCAGTGGCGTAGCGAGGTCGGGTGTCACCAGGTGCGACACTTAATGGTGTCACCCCCCCCCTACAGGCGTAGCGACCCTTCCCGGGGACAAACTTTCAATTTTCGATTTGCAACCCCACTCAAACTTTCGATTTGTACCCCCCCCCCTCTCAAACTTTCGATTTGCATCAACCCCCCCCCCCCCCACACACACACACAAACTTTCGATTTGCACCTCTTAAAAGGCTATTTAACACTTAATTAAGTGGAATTATCATTTTTCTCTATATATTTTGCTATTTTTTTGCCTTGGTGTCACCCCCCTAAATGGTGTCACCCGGTGCGGTCCGCACCCCCTCCCTACGCCTCTGATCTACTCTTTCCACTTTATCTCGTAATCTAATCTAATGTTTAAGGAATCGTCCATTAAAAAAGCACACAATTTAAGTCAAATTACCCCCCCCCCCCACCCCGCCCAGCTTATAGCTACAAAGTCGTCTGATCTACTTGGGATTGCTAAAATGTCACAGATCACTAAAAATAGCCACAATAACTCTGTAAAGTAAGGCTTGCATTACTTTTTCAATACTTTGGTTTTATTAAAACATAAAAGCATGTCTTTATTTTACCCCCTCCACCCCCAACAATCACACACACACGCACACTTACACACACACACGCACACACACTCACACACATGCACACACGCAAACGCGCGCACACACACGCGGTTTAATCCTAAAATAATTCTGAAACTCCCTTCTCTAAACCATATCGTGTGTAGAAATCATTTTTGGAAGACCCTCTTATTTTACATTTAGCTGTTCTGTAAGATCACAATTTTGAGGTGTTTCTTTAAAACAAGGAATTAATAAGACTGAATTAAAAAAAAAACAACAAAAAAAAAGCTACCACCACTATCACTAGAAGAAACCTCTTTCAGTAACCAACGCGAAATATTGTACATAAATACCAGTGGCGTAGCCAGGAATTGGTGATGGAAGGGGTTCAATTTTGTTTCCATATGTATACAATCATATACATATATATATATATATATATATATATATATATATATATATATATATATAGTATACATAGGCTATATTTATAAGAGTGGGGTACATGGAAGGGGTTATAACCCCCCTAACCCCCCACCCTTGCCTACGCCACTGATAAATACCGTGTTTAATTTTTGAAAAGAAAATAGCGATGTCAGTTTTGTTATCACAACCAAGATGAAACAACGTTATACAAGTTACAAGACATATTTTTTTTATTGTTTTTATCTTTTGTAGTTAAAAGTCAAATACATTTTTAACCAATAACAGACAGGTACAGGTGAAACCAGCAACAAAACCTGGTGTCATTAAAACATTCTTTTCTCTTTCAGGGCTGGAAAATAAACCTGCGAATTTAATGAATGTAAACGTCTTTAAAGGTTTGTACACACAACTTACCTTATATATCACTCTATCTATTATATATTTATATATATACATACGTATAAGTATATATACATATTTATGTATATATGCATATGCATATGCATATGCATATATATATATATATATATATATATATATATATATATATATATATATATATATATATATATATATATATATATATATATATGCATATATTTACAGTCGATACAGAGGCAGGCAGTGTTTGTCTCGACACTTATCTGGAAAATATAGATTCACACGTCAACTTTCGGTCGCTAGTTTGCCAGTGAGTATGGTCAAGTGTTTGTCAATATGGTCACATGTGTTTGCCATTAAGTGTGGGCTTGTGTTTGTCAAACTACAGTTGGAGGTTGGTTGTTATTTATAATACCAGCACCATCATTACAATACTTTTACTCGACGCTAATGTTAAGGTACTTTGTGACGATATTACTACTACAGTGCTGACATAAAATTTATGTTACAGTACTTTTGCTCTAAACGAATGTTACTGTACAGTAACACGACACTACTGCTACAGTACTTTAACATGTCGATCGCTTTTACAGTACTAGTACATACTACGTTTGCTACTGTACTTTTACAATGTTACTGTACTTTTATAATTGTACCTCTACATCCCAGTATTGTGACAGTAATTTTATAATTGTACCGCTACATCCCTCTACTATTACAGTACTTTTATAATTGTACCTCTACATCCCAGTATTGTGACGCTGTTCTATCCACGCATTAGCCCATGTGACCACTAAAGCACCAATGTCATGGCGTAGATGTATTTTCAATATTTGAAACACAAATGTTAGCCTAGTTTTGTTTTTTCAAACGTCACGTTTTCTAACAGGGACATTAACGTCTTCCTCAAATGTGTGAGTGACCAGAGGTCAGCTGAAGACCTGGACAAGGCCATCACTCTCTTTAATTACGTGCTGGAGGAATACGGTCTCTTTTGTAGTAAGATTTCTTTTCTTTTGTTGTCTTTCTTTTCTTTCCTTAATTGTTGTATCTAACTCGCAATTTTATATCATTGTTTTGTCTATGTTGTCTTTATATTTTCATTATTATGTCTATGTTGTCTTTTGTCTTTCAAAATTGTGTCTTTCTTTTCTCTGTTTTCTTATTCTTGTGTTTGTTGTCTTTGTAGTTTGATTGTTTTGTCTGTTTTTTTTCCATTTATTGTTGTGTCTATGTTGTCTTTTCTCTGTCATTGTTGTGTCTATGTTGTCTTTTCTCTGTCACTGTTGTGTCTATGTTGTCTTTTGTCTATGTAGTTTCATTGTTGTGTTTAAATCACTTCTTTTAACGTTTCTCGTGTTACCGTTAATCCTTTATGTGTGTAATAGGAAACCATAGCAGAATTATGGAGTTCATAGAATACTTACTTTTCATACGTTGAAAATCAATATATCATATAATATCTTCAGGTTTGATTTAGAACACAAAATAAAATAATAATATAGTGAGATTTTTTAAAACGTTACCTCAAAATTTATTTAGCTTTTAATGACTGTGTTGCGCGCACAATTTATTCGTTTAATTTAATTTAATTTGAAATAAATTTCTTTCGCTTCAGATCTCACCAGAGAGACAGTAATTATGGGTACGTTTTTTTCAGTGAAACATTCAGTTTCTTCTTTTGTTAATAAAATATGGATTCACTTTTAGACGTCTAGCATGTGTAGCGTTATTTGAGTATAACTTAATTATGGTATAATGTGTTGACTAGACTAGGGTCAACAACCTAGCTATCTTTTGTACATAAACAAAATTTTATATACAAGTTTTGACAAATTTATAATTATAAAAAATACAATTATAAAAATGTATATGATTATGATATATTAAATTTAAACTTATCATATTCATGGTTTTTTAACATTAAATTCATGGTTAAAAAATCTTTTGCTGATAATATTTCAATTAACTATTATATTGCAGAAGATAAACAGTTTGCTAAAAATATTTTAAAAAATTATACATATGTGTCATAATAATGAAATTTATATAAGAGTTGTAATGCAGTTTTAATATGTTCACATCTAATGTATTTAAAATTGTTTTGCACAATTTTTCTCTCCTAACGTTTAATTAAAACAGTATGATTAACTATACTAGTCCATTTGATTAAAGGGGTCAGCACTCTACTGCTACCTAAGTAAAAGGCGAAATTTGTTTTCCATGGGGGGGGGGGGGGGGGGGGTCGGCGTTGTCGAGTCGGTAAAGCTCATGGTTGCTAAACCGAAAAGTCTCGAGTTCGAACCCTCGGGCAGATGAGGCTCGTTAGCTGGGGACAGCCACTCCTCTAGGAGAGACAGCTCCAAAATCAAACAACTGCTGCCTTGTAGTTTGTTCTTGGTTGGACAAAGGCTATGGAAGCAAATCCAAAAAGAAAAAGCAGGCTGAAATCGGAGTCAATGGCCTCAATGGCGCATAACCAGTTGACACGTAATCCTTAATTGTGATGGAAGCATGGTCGAGTCGGCAAAAGCTCATGGTTCATAAATTCGAAATAAATTCGAGTTTAAACCCTCGGGCAGATAAGACTCGATCCCTTCCAACACTAAAAATTAAGAACGAAGAAGAAGAAGAAGAAGAAAGTTTTCCATGGTTTGATTTAAAACAAATGACTTTGCTTTCTGTTAACTGCAGATTGTGATGTGGGCGCTGGAAAGTGTTTGACGTCATATTTTCACAAGCAATCCGATGGCGCTTTTAAGGACATTCACGGTTCGAAATGCCCGTAAGTTGTTTAATTAGCTGACTTAAAGATACTTTGGAGATTCGTCTTAACAATATAACAATATATATAAATATAAACAATTCCTTAACCCTTGTTGGGATCATTGGGGCTCCACAGAGTGATGTTGGGGCTAAGTGTCGCACGGCGGCGCCCAACCCTCTCCATACCTGACCATACTTGGATTCCTGCATCTAGGAGGCTCGCCTTGGTCACGAACTCGTGGCCGTTGAACTGGAAGGCCAAACTGCCAATGATGTCGTGTTAGAATCAGATGTTTGAATTAAGAGTTTTCTCCCCAGATGGCTTGCTGTACCCAATTATAGAGCCTGATCTTCCCGGGGGTTTCAACTCGTGTTACCCAAACAAAAGACTAAATTTTTTAAATCATGATATATTAGTTAATAATAAAATAACACAATAATTAGAAAAAAGGTCAAATAACAATCGTTTGAATACATTTATTTTGACATAAAGGTACATCAACGATTACTTGGTATGCATGGTGCGAACATCGTGTAGTATACACACACTGCAAGAGGGGGTAAGTGGTACTTGTGTATACATCGTGTATGGTATATACACTAAATGTGGGAGTAATGGTACTGTGCATACATCGTGTATGTTATATACACTATACGTGGGGGTAAGTGGTACTTATGTATACATCGTGTATGTTATATACACTAAATGTGGGGGTAAGTGGTACTTGTGTATACATCGTGTATGTTATATACACTATACGTGGGGGTAATTGATACTTATGTATACATCATGTATGTTATATACACTAAATGTGGGAGTAATGGTACTTGTGCATACATCGTGTTTGGTATATACACTATACATGGGGGTAAGTGGTACTTGTGTATACATGGTATATGTTATATACACTAAATGTGGGGGTAAGTGGTACATATGTATACATGGTGTATGTTATATACACTAAATGTGGGGGTAAGTGGTACATATGTATACATCGTATATGTTATATACACTAAATGTGGGGGTAAGTGGTACATATGTATACATGGTATATGTTATATACACTAAATGTGGGGGTAAGTGGTACATATGTATACATGGTGTATGTTATATACACTAAATGTGGGGGTAAGTGGTACTTATGCATAAATTAAGTATGTTACATACACTAAATGTGGCTGGAACTGGGTAATTGTGCGCCAAATGCATCAATTAGCATCATATATAAAATGCAAAATAATTATTATATTCATGGAGGGTTCACAATTTAAAAATATATTAAACATTTTAAAGAGAGATACATATTTTGTAGAAAATGTTAATAAATTTACAGTGTTAGTAGTGTAGTGTTTTTATTCAACTTACTCATACATACAAAAAAGTATGTGCTTTACTTAAACTATTTTAAAATATAAATACAAAGAATTTTAAAGGTGTTAGTCTAAAAAGAAGAGCTCAAGTATATTTGTTTCGTTTGTTTCAGCTCAAAGTTTTGTCATCTATTGAAGAACAAAAATCTGGATATAAGTGTGGTTAGTTTTGTTTGTCCTACGAACTTAGCCAACACGTAAGCCCAGCAGCCCTTGCCTCATCTTCTACTGTCCTCCTCCAGGATATCCTTTCCCCCTTCCCCTGGGGATTCCAGTCTAACGCTTTCCTCACGATGTTATCCACTCCCCTTCTCAAGTTATGTCCTATCCATCCCCATTTATGAGCTTTAATGTCCCTATCTATTGGCTGCTGTCAACAAATTCTCCACTTCATATATAAATACATAGCTATGGTATTAAAACAACACAAAAAGTAGCTATGAATATTTACTAACTTGCAAACTCAATGAAATTTTACTTTTTCTTCTACAAAAGATATAGGCCTAGATACAAGTGCAAGTGTTACTTTAAGAAACAAGATGGCAAGTAAGTCTTTTGATTGTTGCAATTTTTAAAAATAGGGTAAGAAAAAAAACAGCAGAATATTAATTACTATGCTTTTTTATAACATACAGCATTAGTTACAAATATAGTTCGCACTTCTGACTACTTATTTGATTTTGTCAACAAAATTTGAAATTGGCTTTAATAAATAAAACACAAATTTAAACTTGTAGCAATAAAAAAGTTGATAATTTCATAAAAATAAATGTAGATCTAGTAGTAGTCGTAGATTAACTCGAAAATTCTCAATAAAAGAAGCTCTATTTCGATTGCTATAAATAAATATTTATTTCCTATCTTATCAATAACTCCTGATTATTTTTGTAATATTATTCCCAGCTCGCCTTGCTACTGTGATGATGGGGCCGTACCAAGTGGCGTTGTCTGAGACGATACGTGTTTTCAAACACAGCGCTCACAAAAATACAACCAAGTAGCAGGAACAACATCAGAAACGGAATTTTTTAATTTAAAAAATATTCATGCCTACTTTGTTTTTACGATTTATAAATTAAAAAAATCCCACTGGATGCTTTTTAATATTATTGTTTTTTTTTTTTAAAATAAAAATAATGCATTTGTAGCAATATATTTTGAGTTAGAATTTTTAAACGATTAAATTATAAAGCGATAGGGATCTTTCTTAAACTTTATTGCATTTTCTTCTAAATCAGTAAAGGAGGTGGCATTTGCAGTTCGTGACAATATAGAAGTTCATGACAAAAACTATATTTTTAAAAAATAGAATAGAATTGCGAAGAAGAAAGAATTGCGCACCAAATGAACAAAACAGTTTGTGAATAATTGAGCGGAAAATAAATGCTTTATAAATGACAATTTTATTACTTTTTAAAAATTGAATTTAATATACTTTTTTTTTGAGAAATCAGAAACAGCGAAAAGTACTATTCAAAATTTGAACAAAACAAAAGAATAAGATCTCATACGTATGTATGAAATTTAGTCCACCTAACTGAAACGGCACTCAAGTTATCAGTATTTTACAAACCAAAAATCGAGCTTTCGGATACTGGAGGTCCTTCAAAAATAGAAAGTAATTTAAATATAATATCTTTTACTTATATATAAACATTTCAAGTATCAGACTGAAATTGTTATAAAATTATCGGAAATAGAGTAGAGTAATAAACTGGAAATTTGAAAAGGTATTCAAGTAATCGTGTTAACAGACACACAGAAGCATACAGAAAAAATTTCGCAAAGCTTAGTTTTTCCGACTCAGGGAGGTGTTAAACGTCGATATTTGTAAAAATCTTGACCCCTTTCTATTTTGTTTAGCTTGATTTCAATACTTCCTCTATACATCGTATCCAAGAAAGTAAAAAGTATGGAAATTTAAATCTTAACGCAATAGATTTTGTTATTTAATAACTATGTTAGTGCGGTGCTTACAAATTAGGGAACAACTATTAACGAGTGTGGCTAGCCTTAAATAATAGATTTTTAATTAAAATTTTGTTCTTATCATTCGCCTATTGTTTATTTTATTTCCACGCTAACGAGTCATTTGTCTCAATTTAATTTAAATTTTCAGTGAATTAAGTAACAAAATAATATTTCTTTTTTTTTTTTAATTAATAGCTTGATCTCTATAAAAATGAAGCACGCGAATTGCTTATTCTCTTTCATAACTAGATTAAAAACACTTTTATTTACTTGTTAAACATCTGGTAAATCTGATTCGTCGAAATTTTAATAGCTAAAAGCAATTAGATCTGGAGTAAAGATGTGAGCATCATTCCTTGATCAGGTGTGGGATGTTAAATCGTATGACGTTGACTGACGCCTCCTGTTACAAATTATATGTGGAATTGAGGGCAGTTTGGCTTTTACATCTCAACTAAGCGGAGTGGTGGAGTGAGTGATGATTTGTTGGGGTGTTGCTTAAGTATCTGCTGCTGCACTGCTTTGGAGCTTCGAGTTGAGATAAATCTGGTCCATGTGACTGGTCATTACTACATCAAAGCTCTTCAACGGGAATAATTTATTTCAGCTTTCCATTATGTCCTCTTTTGCTTCATTTCCACTCTCATGTGATGCAATACAATTTGGCAATCTTTTTGGTTTTACACAATCAACAATAGTCTTAAAGTCATATTTAAATATTAGACCTTTTGTATTGCTAGGTGATTTGCTGCTTTGATAAAGGTCTAGGTTTTACAGCTTTGGGCGATTACATTTGGATGCCGTTAATCTATTGTATTATTGGTGTTTACTTTTTTATCAAATACAAATACGGTCACTCCTTGACTATCAAGAACCATTTAGAAAACCTTATAAATTACAAGAATTAAATATGCAACCATATATGAAATATATATCTTCCTAAATGTTAGTATATAGCAGTCTATATATATATATATATATATATATATATATATATATATATATATATATATATATATAATATATCCAGTAATTTTCGTTAGAAGTATTGTTGAGAGGATAACTCCGGGAACTATTAACTAAATAACCCGGTAATGTATCGCAAATATATAAAAGAATCTGACCATTTTATTTATACATCTTCCGATCTTTGCATTGTCCCTCAATAAAGATCACTTGATCTTTAGCAAAATCGACCTAAACAGCGCAAAGATGAATACTATAGCAAATCGTTGTGCAACTAAAACTATCACTTATTCTTTTAAGACAGTCAAACTGAATTAAAGTTTATTAGATAGAAATACCAATAAAATCCAGAGTATCTTGCAAATGGAAATGAAATAAAATATACAAGAAAGTTCTGGAGATACACGGTGGTGTTGTTAAATTCAGATGTAGGAATATATTGTTCACAAGTCATGAGGAAAGTGGATAGGATGTACCAACTGACAGCAGCAAATAGACAGGGACATTAAAACCCATAAAAAGTGATGGATAGGACATAACTTGAGAAGGGGAGATGATAAAAAACGCGAGGAATACATTAGACTGGAATCCCCAGGGGAAGAGGGAAGTAACTCGGTAAAGGAAATCCTGGAGGAGGACAGAACAAAATGAGGCAAGGGCTATCGGGCTTACGTGGGCGCAAACATAGAGACGCTCTAAATCAAGTCCGGTGGAGAGGTGTGGTTGCAGCCCTTTTCTCATCAAGGTGCACGAAAGAATAAGGAAGGAAGTAGCAACTGAACCAACTAGACACAAGAGGGAGGCACCCTGCGCCTATTAATTCATATCTACAAAATACTCAAGCAATGACAGTGGCGAGTAAACATAATGAACTGGATATAACATTTTGACACCATGTTGTGTGCCTTTTACCCCGAAGTGTAGTAAAAAATGTTTGTGATCAAGATTATGCCAAACATGGTGCATTTTTAAATTGTATGTCTTCTGCCTTTCTAAAATACGTTAAATATTTTTTTTTTAAAACATTCATTAAAAGTATAAACGTTTTAAACTTTGACTGTGGGTGTTGTTCATGTCTACGCCTGGAAATATAATGCTTTTTTAAATCTGTGAATATTCTGGCATTAAAAAAATACATGTATATTATATGCGATAATACGTTTTTTAGACAAAGTACAGAAATAATTCCACTAAATGTCGTTGTAGGGATAAACGTTTCAACTGTAAAATTAACAAAAATATGCAATTAAAGCTTGAATCCTGTTATTGATGTTTATTTTGACATAATATTTCAAAATTTTAGTAAGTAATAATATAAAAATTTACATGATTTTATAGCTTATTTTTTATTTTTAACTATTTATTAATTATAAAATCATAATTTAACTAATGAATGCTCTAACTGTTCCTTTCACTGTTTTCCTACAGACTGGGCAGTCTCTCATGGCTGAAGCACAATCATTGCAGGACACCAGATGACCACAGGGCAGGAAGACGACAGCCACCTCCTGGTCCATACAGATCTTACACACAGTCTGCTGACGTAGCTGGTTGTTCTGTTCTTTTATTGTCCTCAATGTTTCTTAGATGGGTGAGATGATTAAAACGTGGTTTAAGTTGTGAAATTATTTTTAGACATTAAAATCAAGCAGCAAAACGTGTTGGACGTAAGGAATTTAAAAAATAAATGTTTAAATCTCAAAATCCCTAAGCCTCAATTATTCTTCTTGGCTTGTTTTGTGTTCGGTATTTCACTTGGTTGTTCGTATTTACTAACTAGCCTAAGTTACGGCCAGGCTAAAATAGCCGCTTATTTTTTCCGATTAGCTCTTCGTATTTTAATGTTTAAAAAGTGTTTTTATTCGTCATTATAATACATACCACTACTATACTACTAAATTCTAATTCAGATGTTGCTGAAGCTCGGACATACCCAAATGTTTAGCATCGTTTGATGAAGCTCCTGTATTGGTTGGTCTAGGTGCTTTAGTCTGGTCTCTTGGTCGCTGATCAGCTTGTAGTTTCTCGAGAATAGCATCCGCAGAAATTATCGTGTCTGTGGGATAGAAAGTTTAGGATATTACATTCTACAACAGCATCTGCAGAAACAATTGAAACTGTGGATTACAAAATTAAAACATACTACCTTTTACATTCAAAATATTTCTAGAAACGAAAGAAATTTTAACATTTTTTATTCACTTGAACTATTTACTCTAACAATACACAATTTACATTTAACTTGTGGATGTTTTTCCAAAATAATTTAAATATTTGCTTTTCTGTCCTCGATTGCAGCTGATGTTTTTTGTTGCTTTTTATCTAAATTATCGTTTACAATATGTGTTTGAAATTTCATATATCTAAATTATTTAAATATAACTTATATTTTGAAGTGATTAAGAAACTTAGGGTCCCCTACCAACGCAATGATTCCTACAACTATAGCAACTTACACTTCTCCTTGACGAACTTGGCTGCAGCTATGGCATCGAGCATGTTGTAACCCATCTCAACAACAACTTTCACAGCCGCATCTCGCTTTAAAGGCTCGTCGTTTGACTCTGTAATATAGAATTACAGTACACATTTCATACCGTCTACATAACATTTTGTCTCTAGTGTAATTAACTAAAAGTTGGTTCTCTGATCCAATTATGAAACCTCCGCGTTTCGAACATCATCTGTTTTGTCATGTATTTAAAGTATATTTATGCCGTTTTTATTATAACTTGCTAAGTATTTTTAATCAGTGAAATTTAAACACATATATACCTAGTTGAAAAGTTGAAGATGTTTCTTTAAGTGTACTTAATACTAAAGAAAATGAAATCTGAAAAAGACAAACATTTTAACTAAAATAGTAATCAGAAGTAAGTAAAATAATAGTTTTTAAAATAGGTTTCTCAAATAGCTATTTCTCAGAATTGATATTATTCACACACTCATTTCAATTAATCAACGAGCTTGCTCACACAATCGTTTCACCTGGACAATAAAAGTAGACGTTGTTTACCTGATCACGGTCTTTGTTTAACTTCTGGACCTGGTCGACGAAGACCTGGCCCATTCTCTGACGAATAAAAGCACATTTAGGGAACCATCTGGCATGCTCAACATACACGTCATCTTCATCCTCCCAGTTCCTGAGTCCACCACCACAGTAGAAACATCTGGCACAGTCACCGTAACCTGTGGGGAACATTCAACAACACAGTGACTATCCCAGTTAAGTAAAGTATAAAATCACAGTTTTTTCTTCTCTTCTCTATGGACTTAAGCACTAAGTTATTTCAATGCCAAAAAAAAAAAATTCAAAGAAATTATAGAATGCTGTACTAAAAATAAGCAACCTGCATTTTTTTCTAGAATATTTAAAAAATTAATTGTGCTTCCAACATAAATAGTTAACTAACACCCAGTAAGCAAACTGGAGTTAACACATCAATTTATAAAAAACAGTGATAGAATACAGGAAACTATGAAACTCCCCTTACCAGCGAAGTAAAAACCAGCGTCCACTAGTTCATCCTCAGTCAAGCGATGATTTCTCGGCCAGCTAGAGAAAGTTTCTTTTCTTTTTAATTTGACGGCATATTCCGGACGTTTTGGTCTCTCTGTGATTATGCCAAGTTCTGAGTATGTTGGGTTTCTTTTGCCAGGTTTGTTAGTCGCTGCACTGTTGGTGTTTACTGTGGTGAGTTGTGGAGTTGCGTCTGGGTTTGAACTTGTTGGGGCTGCTGATTCTGTGTTGGTTGGTGCTGGTTGTTGGGATGGTTCTGTTTGTCTGCTGGTGTCTACTACTCCTGTAGTCGCTATTGTTGGGGAATTAGGATATAAAGACCTTGATGAAATACTGGGTACTTGGGATGTTAAATTAGCTGATGTTTGATCAGAATTTTCTCTATTTTCATGAGGTTTGGATGGTATTGATTTAGGAAGAGAAATTTGAACTTCTATGAAAGGCGATATCTGTTCTTGTGAAGCCATATTCAGTGACTGAATATCACTGTTTGAATCTGGTTGTAGGTTTAGATGCTGAGCTTCTATAAGATTGCCTGTGGTCAGATTTCTGTTTTCCGAGACTGACAAAGATGAAACAGCAGCAGGGATGGTAGGAGTTTGAGATGATATTCTATTGGGTGAACCTAATGAGAGTTGTTTGGTCTGGGCATTTTGCAACTGAGGGTTTAAAACACCTACGTTTTGACTCCTGTTGGTGATTGATTCGCGATTTATTGAGGGAACAGAGTCAGATTCGATCTCCATGACGTCACCTTGTGTTCTAATGTTGCCATCTGTCTGGTTCAATCTTTGTTGATAATTTCTGTTTCCTATATTTTGATTTTCACTATTATTGAAATTATGTAGTTGGCTATGAAGAGGTAACGGTGTATTATTTTCTTTAACTTTTTCATCATAAAATGGCAAAATTTTTTCCGCATTCTCTAGCATGTTATCAAAATTAGTGACAACGTCCATTGACATTGGTATGTTATCGCTGTTGATGTTGGTTACCATTGAACACCCAGGCGACATTTGCCTGTGGATTTCCGCCACGTCGTCCAAGAGAAGCCAGTCTTGTTTGGTCGAACAGCAAGAGTAGCAGGTAACTCTGTCGTCGTTGTCGTTACCTTCCCCTGTGTACACAAACCCATGGTTCGCCAGTAACATGGCCGACTTCGGGCCTCGTTCTGGATATTTAATATACGTCACTAATCTTAGACTTTCCTTGTTAAATAATTTCCACTGTATATTTTGTATTGACACCGGATGATTTCGTGTGGCTGTCTGCACATGATACACCGGTACGTTTTGTAACCTGACCTTTAAATTTTTAAAACTACAGAGATCATTAATTATATCTTTTGCATGTAGCTCACTGGAGACTCTAGTATTTGGTTCCTTGTCTTTATGATCTTTGTTTTTATATTTTGGAATCTCTTCCGTAAGCTTCTCTATGAATTCTACACTAATTATTATATTTTCTTTTTTGTTAGGAGGTAATATAGGCCTACATATACTGAAATGTAAAAGATATGTTTCATTAAAAATGTGTGTACACATTAGAAACTAGTGCGGAGATTGAACTGGCTTTTCGTGTGTATAGTATTAGCCCCCCCTCCCCATGTTTGTGTGTGTGTGTGTGTGTGTGTGTGTGGTAGGGAGGGTAGGGTATAAACGATTGTTGTTCGCTGAGTTCAGACCTAGTTACTCTAACTTTGACATTCAAGTACAGAGAAAAAACTAATAAGACGTTTTAAAATGTTATTTTAAAAAAATCCTTGCACTTGATGTGTTATATTCAGGGGCGGAACTACAGTGCCGCCAGACCCTGCAATGTGGGGGGGGGGGGCACGCCGTTTAGGGGGCCCACAGCCGCCGATAATCATTTTTTTATAGTTAAAATTAATTTTCTTGCAATTTTGACCTGATGGTTGATATGAAAAAAAGAATACTGTAGCTGCGGTTTGAGTATCTTTATTCTATAGACACCATCCCACGCTCTTGTATATTCTTTGTCCTACAATCAAACATACGCTGTTGTCGGCATAATTCTTTTGAAAAAACATCAATTGCGCAAGAGGCCGCTAGATATTAAGACGGCCTTTTGAGACCATCCCAAATTTGGTACTGATGGATAAAAGCAAATCGGTGCTTTGTTGTCCCTTTTAAGTTCCTTTCTCAGACCTCCCCTCCCGCTCTTAGCCTTACAAGAAGGGAATAGATAGCGCCTCAACAACTAAGCTGGCTCGTAGTGGTGGTAGTGTTGACAAACTAGCGCTCCAACAACTAATATCCAAGAAATAAAGTGCCGACATTGTTTACGTTTAATAACCACTGTTCTAGAAAACAAGGCAAACGTCTAAAATAAATACACGATTAATAGCGTGTTATATATATATATATATATATATATATATATATATATATATATATATATATATATATATATATATATATATATATATATATACAAAGATTAGTTTTATCACTGGCACCTTGATAGTGGTTTTGTAAATAACAAACAGATAACAGATCTAATACTGTAGTGATGTTATATAGTAGCTAAGACATGCTGTTGCGTAAAAAAATTTAAAAATATACACATGAGCTGTAGTGTGAAAGATAGGCAAACGTTCAAATCACTTTCATAAATTATTTCCCTTTTTCAAATAGTCAAATAGGGGTGCTCATGTGCTCCTTTTAATAGATTTGTAATAATCAAATTAAACAGCAATTACTTATCTTAATTATAATTGTTTTTAAAATAAGTACTATAGAATCGTATAGTATAAAAATGAAATGTAGTTAAAATTAATAATATAAATACAAAAAATCATAAAAATAAACATAACACGAGAAACCATTACTTATACAAAGCTTCATGTTTTAAACATAAATGAAAACAGAGATTTTCAAATCAGACCAATGTACTCACGCACTTGTGAGTTGTTGTGATTAGATCAAATTGATTTTTTTTTCACAACCCGATCAGGCCAGAAATGAGTATCCTATGTTCGTATGTTCGTATTGTGTGTTTATATATATATATATATATATATATATATATATATATATATATATATATATATATATATATATATATATATATATATATATATATATATATAATATGGGGGCCCACAATTTTTTTTTGCGGGGTGGCCCATTTTTTCTAGTTCCGCCACTGGTTATATTTAGATTTTGTTTATATCAGACTTGAGTCAACTTCAGTCTCGACATACGGATAAATATGAAGATGGAGTCGGCAGCAATAATTCTCGTTCACATTAATTATTTCTTCTTCTTCGTTTTTACTTTTAATACAATAAAGGTTCATACTTCTAGTCCAACATCACAGACAAACTGCTGAGTCGTCTCAACCAGTTTTCTCTGAGTGGGGTGTTTAGGGACCAGAGTCTGTGAGTACAAAGTGCTGAGCTATTAAACATGTTCGGTATTTTCCGGGACCATACAACAAAGGTATGTCACGCTTGGATCAACTTTTATTTGACAAAACATGTTGTTGCATCCTGATGTGGCCTGGTCTAACTCTATGGCGTGTCTGCTAGTGGTGGGTCTTTTTATAATTTGGATAGGTGTCATACCAACTATTCAATTGTTTCCCTTTTATAAATATTTGTATTTCTTTTGGGTGTAGTGAAGTTTCTGGCGGCTTTGTTTTGACTATTCTCCAATTTTTTCAACCTTGTCCGAAGCTCATTTCCTGGTATCTGGGTGTGTCCCGGGATCCACTATAGCTCATCTTGCTAAAACTATTACTTTACCCTCCAAGAACTTTCCCGAAGAATTGCAATTAAGAGACTTTTTGGTTTTTCGGAGACTGTAAGACGGTTTGGCATATGTTAAAAAGACTATCTTACTGTTTTAGGTTTCAGATTGACCTGACCGGATGTTATCTGCATGTTCTATAGCTACTTTCTCTGTTCTAAATTTATCAGAAAGACTGCCTGTAGTAATCGACTTTTTAAAATCATTCACCGTTTGGCTATTTAAATAAGAATTCCAGCAACGCCATTTCGGTGGCATCTTCAGCTGGGTCATTTGTTTATATCCTAACCCAATAATTTCCGGGGCACTGTTTTTAATGAGCTTCTAATATTATTTTCTTTAATTATCCATGATCGTAGTCATATTTTTTTTTATCTTTGGTACCCATTAAATCGCTGATGGTTGATGGGGGATCTAAGTGCAATGGCGAAGAGAGATTTTACGTTTTAAAATTTTTGGGTATTGTTTTCTATTTATCATATTCCTTTTCCATTTTTTAGATTTTCAGCTTTTTAAATAAAACCTGTTTATTGAAGTCTGTTTGATGTGGGGGCTTCTTTGTTTCTTTTTAGAGTGTTTTTAGTGTTCTTTGCTAGATGGTGGCTATCGTCAGCTATCGAGGCTCATTGGCCCAGGGTGTGAACTCGGATGATTGGAGTTAGTAATCCAACCCTCTCCCACCCGCCTATGCTCTCCCACATTTTCCCCGTGACTTATCTAAAAACATCGTTGTTTAGTCATTGAATGTATAATGTAGAGGCCCGTCGTATCTTCCTATTGTAGTGTGCTCTTTAAAACTAATGTAGGCGCCATAGAGCTTAAATAGGAGCCTGAGGTGCTCATGGATAACTACTCGACCCTGGTGCGATTTAACCGTTGAATCAAGTAGTGTCCCTGTTACCCTGTAACAGACTGCATGTGCTAAGGTAGCGAATGGGGATATCGGGGCGCTGCGACTTAGATATTTATCATCCTCAATAACTTCCTTACGTTTTATGAATTTTATAGCGATAGGATGAAAGGAGTAGTTATGCATCAAAGACACAAACATACTTTCATTATCCATGACTATATATATATATATATATATATATATATATATATATATATATATATATATACACACACACACACACACATATATATATATAATGAAATATAAATTGGCTAAAACAATTACAGATAGGCTACATTTTTGTTTAGGTACCATGCGTGCTATTTACTTTGTTTTAGGCTTTACTATTCTAATAAAGTGAGATGGATGTTATAGACCATTTTTCTGGGGCTGTGAAACAAATTCTATTAATTTATGCCAAACAAAGCTTTGTAGTTTACATAACACTAAAAAAGTGGTTGAAGTTCTTTACCTTTTATTTTCGTCTGTAACGTTTAGTTCACATTTTTTCTTTGTGGTTTTTTTCTTTATTGGTTTATTTTTTGAATACGTGGGTCGCGTACCTTTACTTTTTCTACCTCGTCTTTTGCATTTTGAACTAAGGGAACACATTAAAATAAAAAATAATAGTATTACTACAACAAAAATTAAAAAATCAAATACAGTTGTAAATATGATATATACATTAGAGAGGCCATTAAAATGTATACTATCTTAAAAGTTTTTACTCATACGGCAGTCTAAATATCCAAAAGTACCTTAGGTGTATACAAACGAATAGGAAATTTTATTTTTAAAATTATGCATTGTGCTAGTGTGTCGGGTAAAATTAATTTTTTTGTACATATTTGTTTCTATATTTAAATAAACCTGGAGTGATCTCCCATAAACTTTCTCGAATATTCTTGTATAACACTACGGGGGATGGCAACTCGGGATGTAAACAATATTTTAATCCATTTTTAATTACTTAAACTTTTTATAATAGAAAAGAATTTCGAAGAAAAAAGAATTGCAAAACCAAGTGAACGCCAAACAAAATGTGCATAATAGTGTCGGATATTATAAGTACTTTATAAATTCAAATGCATTTTTTGAGAAATCGGAAATAGCGTAAATTACTACCTCCAGTCAACGGAAATTACTCAAAATGTGATAGAAGGCAGAGAATTATATCTTTTACTTATATGTGAAATTTCATTTATCTATCTGAAAAAGTACTCAAATTAAAGGCTTTTGAAAAAAATTCCACTTCCGGTTATCGGAAATCGTTCAAAAGTTGATACGTATCAACGATTTCGATATTATACTTATATATGAAACTTTATTAACGTAGCTGTAACGGTAATCAAGTTATCGTGTTTACAGACAGACACACACACACACACACATACACACACACACATACATAAGGACAAGATTGCAAAACTATGTTTTTCCGACTCAGGGATGTGTAAAACGTCGAGATTTGCAAAAAATGCGATTTTTTTTTCACGATTACAAGACACTTTCTCTAAATTTGTATATGCAAGAAAGTAAAAATGGGCTAGACGTGGAAAACATTCTAATTTCGGAACCAACGTGTTAAATATACCGAAAATAGATTTAGCATTCTATTCGGAAAAATAGGGTTTTAACAGTAAGTGGGTTGGTGAGTTTTCGAGGATAAATCTCCTTTTGTGGTAACAGCGTTTGGGGATTTCCCACATCTATTTTTAAGTTTCAGGAAGTTCGCGAGATTCAAATCTAAAGAATCATTCTTGAATCAGGTTACTCCTAACACGGAAATTGCTACAAGTGGGGTAAACCAATGTGTCGTGTTGAAAAGATACTGACTGGTTTCGTATGGCGCATTTATTTAACATTAAGGGTTCGTCCATAAATGACGTCAGTCTTTAAAATCTGATTTATTTCCCCATATCGCCCCAACTCGTCATACAAATCCATACCACATCTCAATAGATACAGCAAAGTTCTGTACAACCAATACAAATACCAGAATTAGGAACGAACATGAATTTTTATTTTAGACCCCAAAAAATATTGAAATTCGATGCTTTACCACACTTTATAAATAAGCCATCTGCACATCTGTTTACATAGCCACAAATATCTGAATCACCCATTTCCAGATATATGTATATAACTTCATTTTTAAAGTCTCCCTTATAGTGATTACTTCTGCAATAAATAAGTCTGCGTAAAAACTTATAGATGTTTTGCATTAAAAAAAACAGTAGAAGAAAACTTCAGAAAAACATTGCCATTAAGTATCCTTAAATAACAACGTATTTCATTAAAAAAATATTTAAATAAAGAAAGAGTAGGCCTTCTCGCTATGTTTTTTAAAAGCTAGATGACCATATGGTCAAAAAGAGAAAACTTAATTACAAGACAATCAAACTTTCACGGGAGAGTAAGTTTAATATAACATTAAATACACATTACTGTTATCTTTATTAACTCAAATAAGCTTACAATGACTTTTAGATTTTTGTTGGAGGAGAATTGTATTTAAAATTATAAATAAATTAATTAATAATTATGCTACGTAAAGAATATAATTTGTATTTTTTTTTACTTCACTCATTATTGTCTGATTTTAATCTAGAGAAAATATTTATAAATCACTAGACACACACACACACACACACAAACACACATACATATACATATATATATATATATATATATATATATATATATATATATATATATATATATATATATATACATATATATGTATACATATATATATATATATATATATATATATATATATATATATATATATATATATATATATATATATATTATATATAGATATAGATATTGATATAGATATTGACATAGACATAGACATAGACATAGACATAGATATAGATATAGATATAGATATAGATATAGATATAGATATAGATATAGATATAGATATAGATATAGATATAGATATAGATATAGATATAGATATAGATATAGATATAGATATAGATATAGATATAGATATAGATATAGATATAGATATAGATATAGATATAGATATAGATATAGATATAGATATAGATATAGATATAGATATAGATATAGATATAGATATAGATATAGATATAGATATAGATATAGATATAGATATAGATATATAGGGAACAAACAGTTTAACTGAAAACCCGTGGCTTACCGCTTTTTGTGGCCCATTCTTTCTCTCTTATATTGCAAGAGTGGTGGGCTGACTTGATTTGTGCTATTTTTATCTGCTCTTTCCTAGACACGTAATCGGGAATTCCAAATCCAAATGTTGTAAAGTTAATATTACGTTCGCCTAGAAAGTAGACCCAAAAACACACACTAGTAATTATACAGCCGACTATAAAGAAAGTAAATATTATGTATGTATCCATGTAAATTGTTCAAGATTTTATACAACTTTAGAATTATAAAAATACAAACAAATAGTTTCTAGTAGAGGATAATGTCGTTACATGTTTTTAATTATGAAACAAGTTCAAGGTCTAAATATAAGCTAATTAAGAAAAACGTTAGTATTATTTATATCACATGTACCTATGCCCGTTAGTTTTTGCGAGCCTTAATAACTAAGGCTATAGTGTTCAATACAATATTGGATGGTTATTGGGGAAATGAGAGGGGTATTCAGTAAGGGTCCCAAATATCTTCCTCGAAAAAAATAAGACGAATATTTATTTTTACTGAACTATGCTGTCGGTGTTTAATTTAAAGCCAATGTCAATTTGATTGGCATGTAGTCCAAAGTTTCAGATGTCGCCGAGTATTATCTTACTCTTATGTAACCATGACGCCAGACGTTAGACGTGTAGACAAACACGTCACCTCTATAAATGTATACAGTACCTACACAAACTAACTGCTGCCAAGAAAATAACGTCAGCTTTATTTTAAGATCTAGCCCATTACAAGTTTACCTTTAGATCTTAACACTTCAAAAAATATAGTTCTGTAATTTGAATCACTTTGATGTTCTATCCCGTTTAATGAGTGAAAAATGACGTCAGGCGTGAAAGAACGAACAATCTCTATATATAATTCTCTTCATCGGGACCATGCGAGACACCAAGACGTAAGCTCAACAGACTATATCACTACCGCCCCCCTCCCCAGTCTGCTGAGCTGTTTACAATGGTAGTGACAGCTATTAGAGGCAGATAATTTAGTTTTTAAACGATTTGAAACTAATGGGAGATACTAACATGTTCTGATTGCTCTTTTCATTGTCGCCTATAAACTGTCGTCTAAGACGGCTGCATTCACGGAGGCGGGGTGGGGGAGGGGGGGGGGGGGTGGAGGGAGTTCAAAGTGAGGGTGAGGATAATCGTCCTTCACTAGCTACTGATAGGGTTTTTAAGCAAAATATTTTCAGTTACAGCCTCGGTAGTGTCGAATTCACAAATTATGAATACTGAAAAATAGGAATTAAACTAAATAGCGGCGTATTCTACGTCGCGGGTTAGCTCGTGGAGTTATAAATCAACATCGTACAGTGTATCCCACAGGTAACCTCTCCCCACGACACCCTCCACACACACATACCACACATACACACTCACAACCAACTCCTCTTTTAGGGCTTGTATATTATAAATAAAGATTACTAAAAGTTTATAATACTGATAAGCTCTCATATAGCAAACTATGCGTATGCCTACGCTTTTCCGAAAGATAGATGGTAGTTTAACTATGCGTTTATCTACACTAATAATATAAGGCTCTTTATAAATCAGCTATACATAGGTAAAACCTAAATATATTTTTTTCACCAGTTTGCTTGGTTTTATATGCAAACTAACGTACCCGATCGAAGTAGAGAGGAAATTCAAAGAAACTCTTTAAGCGATTTAACAGCTACTATTGGTCCATTTTAAGACGTGTTACCTCTGTTATGTGTTCTAAAACAGATAATTATGTTATTCTGATGCGATAGGTAGCCACATCTTACTCTGGTCTGATAACATACTCTTACGTACAATATCTTTTTCTAAATTTAATATAAATCTCTTCAAAACACAGCCTACCATTCGGTAATCCGAAGCGGCTGTTCATTCAACTATAGCGAATTAAGTTGTCTGTATTATTGATCTTTACTTGGATATCTTTTTTCTTCGAAACAGATTTCATAATGGTTTTTTTCTACTATCATATCCGTCGCGCGTTGCTGCGATCTTGTCCTACACACCAGAGTGACGCAACATTTTATAAATGTTTCATCAACGGGTTACTTATCTTGCATTTTTAGACTGTGATTTTGTTTTCTAAAACGGAGTTAGTTAAATGTAAACAAAGCAGACGCTGTTTACTTGGTACATAGTTGTTGGAATGTGGGTTTGTTCACACTAAAGCCCAGAAGCTCCAGGGCGTGCTGTATGACCTCATTGAATATACGTTAATCACATTCCATAATAGTGAAGTAGAACACACCTTGGCGACCGCCCATGCGTAAAGAGCGTTACGGATTTCGTTTTGATAAGGTGTTTAACTGTTGTGGTTTTTTTCCATACATGTTATACATATTGGTATTTCTTCTAAGAAAATGAAAAAAAAATCTTTCTATTAAAATGTCTTCACCCATTATGATTTTGTTTAACCAAATGTAATTAAATAAACAATAAGTTTTTTTATATAGCTCTTTGTTGGTGTGTTTTATTATGGGACATTAATCTTCACTTGTGCTAGGACGCGTGTTAGTGTGTTACAATTGGCAGTCGAGTTGTGAAGTTGACTGGGTGTGGAGTGACGTGTGCTGTGTTATGGGTCATTATAAACTACTTGAACTGTTTAGATTTTGTTGAGTGGCATAATAGTAGGTTGCAACAACTGGTGGCCAGTATATATATATATATATATATATATATATATATATATATATATATATATATATATATATATATATATATATATATATATATATATATATATATATATATATATATATATACATATGGACAAATGATTTCAGACAAATGATCTCAGACAAAATATCTCAGACAAAATATCTCACAGCAAAAATTTAATAGTATGTACGATGATACCCCTAGACTCCCCATTTGAGAACCCGACAATATAGTGCGCAAAAATAAAATAATTAAGGCTGTGATGAATGTATTGGACTCCGTGACTTTCTGTAGGCATCATTTTTTATTTAAAAAATCTTTCTGTAAAAGGTTTTCAAATTTATAATATGATATTAACTCGAATTTAGCAACATTTACTAATGTAAATGCATACTTGATTTACATATGCACTAGGTTTTTATGTCCAAATAAAGACTCCACTAGTAATACACATGTCTTAGTTAATAAACAAGTTACATCTGCATGTTGTAGGTTATTACATGAATATTTCACCAAGTTTGTGTTAGATGAGACAATTGCATGCTACATACAACTGATGTATGTGTTCACTCAAATGTGATTAGTGTAGACATAGACTATAGCTATGTCAACGATGACTTTTGGATTGGTCTTAAAATAATGTAGTACTTTTTTAGCATCAATAATAATAATAATATATCCGGCTTTAAATTAAACTATTTATTGCATTACAGTTATCATAGCAATATATATATATATATATATATATATATATATATATATATATATATATTAATATATAAATATATTTTAATTACTGCTGTGTTTTTTTTTTTGTAAACCAGTTCCAATAACGTTTTATATATTTTCATCTTCATAGCTCAATACACTATATTTTCTGATGCTACGTCTTAACCGTCTTGATATGTATGTTGACACATTTATTTATGTGATAGAAGCATGGATACGGTATCACGACAGCAGAAGCGACATTTGCACAATAGGGCTGGTAAGTAGGTCAGCAATCAGTTCTATGGCTCGTGCAGGTTTTATTGAGGCGTAGAACTGGTTGGTGACCTACTTACCAGCCCTATTGGTACGAACATTCGGTAAAGTACTTGGTCCTGCCGCTGCAGGTATAAATGGCTCTTGTCAATCTAGGGTTGTGAAAGAAATCCATCACTGAAATCATTAAATGTGCATGTGTGTATATGTATGTATGTATATATATATATATATATATATATATATATATATATATATATATATATATATATATATATATATATATATATATATATATATATATATATATATATATATATGTGTGTGTGTGTGTTATTGCTTCCACGGGATAAAACGCCAGTTTGTGATTTTCTGGTTGCGAGACCTGAGTAACTGCCATATTAAAGGAGACGTCTGGAAGATCCTGAGCACTCTTATTTGTATATTTAGATAATTAGTACGCATAATAATAGTATATATTTAAATTTTAAAAAATGATTAAAAAATTTTTTTAATATGAACTTTTTTTTTTGTTGTCTCGAAACTTAATTTGAAAAAATAAAATCCTATACAACACTTTGTAGCTCTTTAGGAAAAGTTAGGTCTAGTCTAAGCTCAACTTATAAAGCTTTCACTCAAGAAAAACCAAGCTATTCAGCTGTTCGTCTTTTATTTCTTCAATAATAACATATAAAAAGAAAGGTTATAGCCTGCTTTCAATTCCAATCAAACAGCTTTGCAGGAGAATTTTTAAAAATAATAACATGATTTTGAAATTTGCAACAATTAAGAAAATGTAAGTCGATATGTCTCACCAAGATTGTATTTCAAACGTTTTAAAACATTTTTCTTAAATTCATATTTCTTTTGAATAGTCATGTAACATTCGTTAATGTTTAGTTGTTAACTGCTAGATCTAGTTAAACTGATTTAAAGTACACATATTTTAATTAAAAAAAAAAAATTATTGTTCAGCTTTAAATTTTGCGAGAATTCAAGTTAAAAAACGGTTAAAATATAAGTAGTTTAAATTATAAATCAGTCTAAGAGTAAAACAATGCAATTTCAGATGCTGTTTTACCACCCCAAAACCTAGGAGTCACTTTGACACTCGACTCCTGGAGAAAACAAATAGAAAACACACAAAGTAAAAGGATCAAATGACTTAATCTAATAAGGAAATTGGCAGGAACAGACTGGGGAGGAAATAATCACATCCTGAAAAAACCTACACCAGCTATGTGAGACCTACGTTAGAATATGGTGATTCAACTTGGGGCTCAGAAGCTAAAACAAATATTAGCAAAATTGACAAAGTTCAGAACATTGGTTTGAGAATAATGACAGGAGCTATGAAAACATTGCCTATAAAAGCAATGGAGGAAATAGCCGCTCTTTAGAAGAAATAAGAGAATAAAAAATCCTCAATCAATACACAAAGCTAGAGGCACTGGATAACCATAATCTAAAACACAAACTCCAGAAGCCCAGCCAATCAAACAGACTTCAAAGAACAAGTTTTATTAAAGAAGCAAAAAATCTAAAAAAGAAAAATGAGATAGAAAACACCATTCATCGGGCACCCGCGGATTTGGAGATCACAGTCCAGTTCATACACGAAGTTGGGCTTGTTGTTTAAATCCTCCAACATATACATAATTAAGAACGAAGAAGAAGAAGAAAGAATATGCTGTTTTTACTTTTTTGTATAGAGAAAGTATTGTGATCGTACACAAAAATCACATGAAATTTTGACAATTTTCACCGTTTTACACTTCAGTCCTTCATCACATCTGGAGTATAGAGGACTTATTTTAATCGGACAAAAATTATAAATCGAGATATATCAAAATTTAGCGTTTTATGCGTAATCCAGTACAAAAAAACTTTACTTTGCAATTTCTTTTAACAAATTTTCCTTGTAAGAGGCATACAGTTATTTTTTTTTCAATCTCTTCTTTTACTGCATGAAAACCCTGACAGATCCTCTAATTTGTCTTTTGCAGATAGGACAATCCGGTCTAGAAGAAGCGCAGTCCGCACACGACGCCAGATGACCACAGGGCAGAAAGATGACAGCCACCTCCTGGTCCATACAGATCTTACACACTGTCTGCTGACGTAGCTGGTTGTTCTGTTCTTTTATTGTTCTTATCATTTCTAAAAAAAGTTTAGATTGTAGAATACTGTGTAATAAGATGCATGACACTACATGTGTTTAAAGTTGCTTCATTTCACAATATAAGTGATTAGGAATAACTAAATAAGAATTAACAATCCAATTTACAGCCTATAATTTAATAATGATCATACTTAGATTGTGAGCAATGTCAGGTGAAACACCAGGAGCTGTTGGTGGTGGGATATTGTTTTGGTCCCTGGGTCTATTGTTGTTTATTAGTAGGTTAAGAAGACCATCAGCAGATATTACAGCACCTGTTGAAAATAATCGATTGGTTACACTGTATCCAAGGTAGGCTTAGCTATATAAACATGTTTATTGTTTATGTAAGTTTACATTTTCGTCTGTTATTATTTCAAAAAGAATAATATTAACACCTGATGTTGATCTTTCGAAAGAAAATATCAATATTATATAATACTAAAACTTGTAGATAAAGTTCTCCTTAAATGCCACTAATGATCATTAGGCAGTTTAAATATAAATCCTGTTGTGTTTTACCTCCGAAATGACCTTGAGATTCGAACTCGATCTTCCGGGTTAGCACTAATGTGGATAGCAACTCTCTAATTTTTTTAATAGAATAGAATCTCGTAGAAAAAAAAAGAATTGCGCACCGAATGAATAGCGCATAATCTATATATTAATAGTACTTTATAAAGAAATAGAGGAATCAATTTAAAAATAAATTCATATACGTTTTTGATAAATCGGAAATAGAGTGAAATACAAATCCGGTCATCGAAAACTACTCAAAATATGACAGAAAACAAAGAATTAGATCTCCTATATTTATGTGAAAGTTTGTCAATCTAACTAAAACTGGACATAAGATATAGGCTTTTGAAAAATCGGAAGTAGAATAAGTTACACTTTTGGTTATTGGAAATAGCTGAAAAGTTGATACAGAACTACAAATTTGATATAATACTTATATATGAAATTTTGTCAACCTTGTTATAATGGCACTCAAGTTATCGTGTTTACAGACACACAGACACACACACATACAGACATACAGACAAGATTGCAAAATCTCCGTACACGAAAAAGTAAAATACGTTTAACCTTTAGCACACCAATTGACCCTTTTTTAAAAGTGACATTGTACATGCACTTACCTTTTTCTTCAATAATTCTTGCAGCAGTTTTAACATCTTTAATGCTGTAACCCATCTCAACAACCTCTTGAACTGCTGGGTGTTGCATGAGCTGTTCATCATTAGATTCTATATAACATTTAAAAAAAATTATTTTTATTATTTTGATTTTATTATATTTTGAAGTAAAGCTACTTAACACAAAAATAGAAGAAAACGAGTATTTTGGTTTAAATAGTTGTTTTCTAGATATTAAAAAATAGATTTATTTGTGAATTAGTGTAAACAAAAAAAAAAGAGAATATCAGTTAGGATTCTTGTGTAAATTAGGTCTCTAACATTTAGTACTACAGTAGAAGAAATTAAGTGAAACCGAAGGCTAAACAATTGGGTTAAGATTTATGAAAAGATACACCTGGAGCTAATAATTAAAATATAGAAAAACATGTTAAACAAATTTACCTTGTAAAAACGATGTGTACGTACCATTTAATATCATTTCTACCATTAGCCTGGTGATCTAAAATAAAAATTAATATGTAGTTACAATTACCCACTATAATGTAAACACTATTACAATAAGGGAAATGAAAAATGCATTGCAAGATATCTTGTCCATCTTCATGTATTTACCTTACAAGAGTCCTTGTTCAACTGCTGAACAATATCGACAAACCCCTGACCCATTCGCTGACGAATAAAAGCACATTTAGGAAAATATCTGGCATGCTCAACATACACGTCATCTTCATCTTTCCAGTTCCTGAGTCCACCACCACAGTAGAAACATCTGGCACAGTCACCGTAACCTGTTGCAATTATTTTATGAATTCACTTTTATCTTCAAAATATTGGAGTAATATTTAATGTATAACGGACGTTGCAAAATAAATGATAATATGTATTTTTCATAAATTTATGCTGAAACAAATTATAAAAAATGCATTGAAAATAAAATCAAAGTAAAATTAGAGCCTTAAAAAGAAACTAATGTAAGGCTTATGTGTGGAATACGAGCGTGATTTAAACACCATGTTGAAAACTGTGGTAAAAACAAAAATGTAGGCCTACAGGGGAATGTTGGTAAAATTATAAGAGTTTAGAGTATAAAATTGTAAAAGCACTAGAGTAAGCGACAAATGAGCTTACCAGCATAATAAAAGCCAGAATCTTTCAAGTCATCGACTGACTGATGACGAGCTCTTGGCCAGGAAGCGAAAGAATCCTGTCTTTTTGATGGGGAGACAAATTCAGGATGTTTGGGTCTATCTGTGATTATTCCTAGTTCTTCATAAGTTGGACCTCGACGTCGCTTTAAGGTTTGACTATTGCATGTGTTTGAAGCTCTTTCTGTAGCTGCTCCCTGAACAGTTGTGGACTGAGCTGGTACTACTGAAGCAGCTGCAGCTGCTTGCAGTGAAGGTTCTAAAAGTGTGCTATCTTCTGAAAATAAAGACTGTTTTGCTTGAGGCGTTGGTTGAACTAAAGATGTTGACGCAATGTTGTTCAATTGAGTTGAAATAGATGCAACTGAAATAAACCGGGAGTGATCTCCCCTAAACCTTCTCGAATATTCTTATATAACACTACGGGGGATGGCAACTCGGGATATAGACAATATTTTAAATCCATTTTTTATTACTTAAACTTGTTATAATATAATAGAATCTCGTAGAAAAAAGAATTGCACACCAAATGAACGCCAAACAAAATGTGCATAATATTGCGCGATATTATTAGTACTTTATAAATTCGCATGCATTTTTTGAGAAATCGGAAATAGCGTAAATTACTACTTACTATCTATACACAGTCTATGCTAAATACTAATACAAACGCATATGTCTTACTCGGGCAAGTGTCCATTCGGACATAATGTCTACTGCAAGTGGGGGAAAACTGACCGCGACTGTCCAGCTAGTTCTCTAAGTATATATCGAAAAAATATCCTGTCGTCGACCCCTCGCCTTAAATTTCGAGAGGTTATAGACCAATGCTCAGGGGTACGCCAACCCCAAACTTCTCTTCTTCTTCTTCGTTCTTAATTATTAGCGTTGAAGGGGATCGAGATTTATCTGCCAGTGGGTTTGAACTCGAGACTTTGTTCGAATATATCAACCATGAGCTTTTTGCCGACTCGACCACGCCTTCCAACACAATTAAGCGTTACGTGTCAACTGGTTATGCGCCATTGAGGCCATTGACTCCGATTTCAGCCTGCTTTTCTTTTTGGATTTGCTTCCATAGCCTTTGTCCAACCAAGAACAATCTACAAGGCAGCAGTTGTTTAATTTTGGAGTTGTCTCTCCTAGAAGAGTGGCTGTCCCCAGCTAACGAGCCTCATCTGCCCGAGGGTTCGAACTCGAGACTTTTCGGTTTAGCAACCATGAGCTTTACCGACTCGACCACGCCAACCCCAAACAAACGTGCCGCCTCTGTGTAAAATAGTTAAGCTGATCATTCATATTTTCGTATATAATCATTGTTAATTTTGTGTAAAAACAAGGCACATTAGCAAAACATTTTTATGGGTATTTAGGCTCTGTACATCTGTCTAATTTGTTTGTATAGTACTTGACTCGGCCATAAGGAAAACTATCAGTCCGCCTTTACTCGTCCGCTTTAGGCTAAAAACTGAACACAACTCACAAGCACCTTATATAAGCTATATATCGTAAATCATCTACTCAACGCCGTCCCCCAACCCGTTATATACATATATATATATATATATATATATATATATATATATATATATATATATATATATATATATATATATATATATATATATATATACGTACACACACACACACATACATATATATATATATATATATATATATATATATATATATATATATATATATATATATATATATATATATATATATATATATATATTAGACATAATACACATCATTGTCTTAATTTATCATTTAAATTTAGACATGACAACATAAAATATCTGGATCAAAGCCTATTCGATACGGTTAGTATATAATACATTTGAGTTCAGGTGTTGATGGGGATTTGACATACCTGTATTTTGAGCAAGGTTAGATAAAGCCCCTGTTCTTATTCCTCTGGTTGCTATAGTTCTTGGTCGTTCACCTTGCAATTCCTCGAGAAGGGCATCCGCAGAAATGATAGAGTCTGCAGAAAATCAATACTTCATTTTACCATCACAACATTTGCAGAAAAGATATTTTCTAGTTCACTTACATAATTTAATCTAAAAATATCACGCGGGGTCAAAGCAGCCAATGATAAAACGGTCCCGTCAAGACAACCCTGTCAAATGGACCCCGTCAAAAGGGTCAGCGACATATTGACCCCGTCATAAAGGATCGCAGCATATAGGCTCCAGTTATTATTTAGGCTCCCGACTAATAGGCTCCCGCCACATAGTTTCTCCACAAAACGGCAGTTCCAACTCAATGTGTGGGGAAAGGAGTCCACGCTGTACATTCCTACCTGCAGTATGCGTGTAGGTTATCAAAACAAAATGCCTTTATTATGTAAACATCAAGTATATCATACAGTTACATTTCTGTGCTCGCTTTTAAGCAACTGATCTTTACTGTTGTAAATTAAACATTATCAAAACTTTAGCTATTAGGGTTCGATTTGTTTGTGAATTGATGTTGGTTCATGAAAAACAATTTCACTCAGGCATTTCAAAAGAGGTTATAGTGGTAATGGAGGTAGGGCAAAATGATTACTTTTATGCCAATAGTGGTCATATGATTCATTTGTATGGAGACAATATGTCCGGAGGCATTTTGTCGGAAGCCAACATGTTGGGAGCCCATTTGTCGTCAGCCAGTATGACGGGAGCCCATTTGTCGGTTGCCAATATGGCCTGAGCCTATTGGTCGGGAGCCAGTAAGTCAGGGCCCTTTTAACAGGGCTATTTTGACTGGGTCGTTTTGTCGGGGTTCGATTTGACGGGGTCATATTACGGCCCCGATTTGTCCCGGGCCTTTTTGACGGTGCACCTAAAAATATACTTAATATATTTATATATTTATACAAGCAATGGGTTGTTTTTTTCTTCCACCCATCAGATCGGGTATCTGAAAGTATCAGACAAATTGCTTTTGCAAATAATAGCAACTAATTGTTTAATAAAATAAAAAATATGAATACGCCAATTGAATAGAGTTTTATATAGGGTTAAGTTTTGTTCTGTTTCCTTAAATTAAAACTCCTGCTATCTAGAATATTAATAACAATTACCTTTAAATAAGGTTCTAAAATTGTAACATCAGTCTTTAAAACGACGACATTCCCGCGTCAGTTTATAATATAAGTGAGAATAAAACTTTAACGATAATATATCGTTTACTTTTTTTAATAAACCGGGAGTGATCTCCCCTAAACTTTCTCGAATATTCTTATATAAATTAACAGGGGATGGGAACTCGGGCTATAGACATGATTTTTAATCCATTTTAAATACTTAAAGTTTTAAAAATAGAATAAAATCTCGTAGACAAAAGAATTGCACACTAAGTGAACGCCAAATAAAAAAGTGCATAATAGTGCGCAATATTATTAGTACTTTAAAAATTTAAATTAGTTTTTTGAGAAATCGAAAGTAG